CCACTACCCATATGATTCCCTGCAGAAGAACATGCATATGCAAGACTAGTGCCATTTTCTGCAAGAAAAGGCTTGCACATTAATGCGTATAATACGGTATTGAATTTGATATGATGCACATGTACTAGGCCATTATTTAGGGCATTCCATTGGTGACATAATTATTATCATAATATCAAGAGTGCATAAACATTTGTTTATGGACTCTTGATAATATCCTTAGCTAAAAAAACAAAAGAAATTATAGCAATAAAAACTGCTTTATGGCAGTTTTCTAAAAAAAAGTTATTGTATTCTAGTCCATGGGCCCCGTCTAAAAAGTAAGAAATTAACGAAATGTGATAGCCGAAAATTAAAATTTCACACAAAACCTCACAATAATCACAGCACTTGAGGATCTTAGTTTTAAAAAAATACTGCTTTCAACACTTGTTTAGTCTGACACTTCACGGGTGACTTTTACTGCGCCAACATGCATGAATAGGAAAGAGGACCCAGAGAGGAAAAGATCTTCTCGCTTTTCATCCTGTGTGTGATTATTGTGAGGTTTTGTGTGAAATTTTAATTTTCGGCTATCACATTTCGTTAATTTCTTACTTTTTAGACGGGGCCCATGGACTAGAATACAATAACTTTTTTTTAGAAAACTGCCATAAAGCAGTTTTTATTGCTATAATGTACTCTTGGTATCATGCTCCTCGGCTTTCGCCTTGTTGAGCACTCTCAGTAGGCTGCTCTAGTGCTGCTGCATCGCGCAATGCCCGCTACTTTGTGTAGTTTGAGCACTCTGGCGCTAGAGCGCTAGAGCGACGAGCTACCTTAATGTCTGTGGTGCCTCCTTTGCACCATGGCTGGTAGCTCGGCCTATTTAGCTCGTAGCCAGGGAGTAGTAAAATACGTAAGTATTTTACTACTCCCTGCTCGTAGCTGTACTGATGAGGCCTTTATGGCCGAAACAGCTTGCTGTCTACAGCATTGGGTATATAATAATATATACTCAATCTGCGGACAGCATATATATATATATATATAACTACTGATGAAAATGGGTGAAAAGCTTTTAGTATTATGAAATTGACAACCTTGTTGTTGTGTGTATATAAATTTTGTTCGCCTACATCTCTATTTATATATATATATATATATATACAGCATGCTGTCCGCAGATTGAGTATTTCGCTCCTGCTCTTGTAGCAGTTGAGCACTCTTGCGTGGGGTAGTGCCTTTGCTGTTTGCATTATGCAGAGCTCACTGACTTGTCAGTTTGAGCACTCTGGCAAGGTACGTTCGGGCCTGATTGGAAATCTTTATTTCCATTGCTATCAGGTTCGGCCTCATTTCCTCTGTGCTGCGCTGATGAGTTCAAAAAGAACGAAACAGCATGCTGTCCGCAGATTGAGTAATAATATATATAATATTCGCGGGATCCGCGTTAGCATCACTTGAATGTTCAGGAACACACAAGCTATCCTTCGCTTTCGCAGGCCACCACTATGCCTTTACACCTTAGTGGCGAATGCAGACCTCACAAGTGAGTCAGGGGAGAGGAGGTGAGTCTCTCAACCAATCGGGCGTGTAACGGCCCATAACCCTGTAAACTGCATCCTTGTTATCCTCACTCGAGCTGTGAGTACCCAGTTGACCGTGGGTGTCGGCGCAGTTCAACAGTTTGTATATACTTCGAAAAAATACTTTGAAACTCGGATGTTGAGCCATAAATAAATGTGGAAGAGAAAAGGACATATGGATACGAGTTAAGAGTAACTCTCCATCACTGTAACATGATACTATATACAGTCAGAAAGTGCAATAACTAGGCACAAAACTGACAGAGTACTGAAACATTCGACGTCCTGACACCTAGCTTCAACACATCTCCGTAGCGCTAACCGACAGCCTTCCAACTTGGAAGGTTCAAGGTTATGGAAAAGACCAAAGAGGGGAAGGCAAGCGCAACGAAAACGAGCAAAAGCTACAGTCCCAACGGAACAAAGAATGTCGATTGTTACTGGACGATGACGAGACCAGTACGATATTTGACAAAGCGGTCTAACTACAATTCGAAGCAGCAAAGCAGCACACCACCCAACTTGGGTGGGTCATAAATATCAAAGATAAGTAAAGAAAGGGAAGCTTTGCGAAAACGAATTGTACAAGCCGAAAGCCAAACTCCTACAGTACTCCTCATGCATGACATTGTGATGGACTAGTTGACTACAAAACAAGTTGTTTCACACGACGTACGTTTCGCCGTATGGATCGTGACGGCTCATCAGGTGTGCAATTTGCTTTCTGACTGTATATAGTATCATGTTACAGTGATGGAGAGTTACTCTTAACTCGTATCCATATGTCCTTTTCTCTTCCACATTTATTTATGGCTCAACATCCGAGTTTCAAATTGCACACCTGATGAGCCGTCACGATCCATACGGCGAAACGTACGTCGTGTGAAACAACTTGTTTTGTAGTCAACTAGTCCATCACAATGTCATGCATGAGGAGTACTGTAGGAGTTTGGCTTTCGGCTTGTACAATTCGTTTTCGCAAAGCTTCCCTTTCTTTACTTATCTTTGATATTTATGACCCACCCAAGTTGGGTGGTGTGCTGCTTTGCTGCTTCGAATTGTAGTTAGACCGCTTTGTCAAATATCGTACTGGTCTCGTCATCGTCCAGTAACAATCGACATTCTTTGTTCCGTTGGGACTGTAGCTTTTGCTCGTTTTCGTTGCGCTTGCCTTCCCCTCTTTGGTCTTTTCCATAACCTTGAACCTTCCAAGTTGGAAGGCTGTCGGTTAGCGCTACGGAGATGTGTTGAAGCTAGGTGTCAGGACGTCGAATGTTTCAGTACTCTGTCAGTTTTGTGCCTAGTTATTGCACTTTCTGACTGTATATAGTATCATGTTACAGTGATGGAGAGTTACTCTTAACTCGTATCCATATGTCCTTTTCTCTTCCACAAAAAATACTTTGGTGTTATTTTAGCGAGGTGTCGATAATAATTAAACTAAGTATGATTAGTTACACATGTTGCCTCTGTGCTAGGAAAACATCTACAGTCAACTTGGCTAATAGTAATAACGACTGCGGATATAACGACAATTCGCGAATAACGACAGAATTTCTATGCCCAGAGCAAAGTCCCATCCAACTGTAATACTGTACATAATAATGAGACTTCGGGTATAACGACACTTTGTGAATAACAACACTTTTCTTATGCCCCGCCGAGTGTCGTTATAAGCGAAGTTGACTGTATGTCTAAACTGTGACTAGTAAAAGATCACATGAGACTGAGCTAAGCATGCAGGGATCAACCTGACTGTGAGAGACAGCATCTTCTCAGCAGGGTTGGTACGGTATTGAAAAGAGCCAGTGACAGGGCAAGATGAAAATAATCGCGGGAGGCAGTGGAGATCAGAAACGAAGGCCCAGAGATCAGAACCAAGAGCTGGATGGTCAATACTCTAAAACAATCACGGGTCCCGTTTCTGGAAAACATGCAGGCATGAAGGTGTGCTAGAGAAACCTTCAAGATCCAACCAACCCCGTTGAAATAAAAAGGACCTGTCAACCAATTTCAGCTGATGACAAGCCAGGAAAGTAGCGGTATATTTCTTTTAAGTACACTACTGAAACCTTCAAGATGTTCAAGAGCCTGAAGTGTGTCCTTCTTCTTCATTGCATTCTTGTTTCCCAGGAAACTGACAACCGTGGAAATAAACAGGAGAAAGTACACGCAATTGTGACGTAAGAACAAGAATATTTAGCTAAAGAATGTGTGCATGACAGCTACGTGCAAGTGCAAAATGTCAAGCCACTCACTCCATATTCGCAACGCGCTGAACATGGAAGACTCTTGTGCCGTCTCTAGTATTGGGTAATCATTAATCTATAATTTTCATCATTCTGTGAGAGTCAGCCGTTGGCTAGTGACGAGGCATCATTGCTTGTTCGCTTGGCGAAGTAAAATTTAGTACATGTATCCGATTGCGACTTGAAGCTTCATGCTCTCGCAATCATCAGGCAACATGAATCCGATCAAAATATAATAAGAGAAAGGACCAAGGAACTAGTACAAGTTACGCTATACTGTCCACTAACACCACCAGTTACTGAACAATCAGCTCATGCGATAACATTGCACGGCACTGCAATCTTGGATGCGCACTCCAAGAGCCTTCCAACTTGGAAGGTTCTAAGCTATAGAAATAACATAAGGAGGGGAAGGTGAACGCATCTTTTGAGCGACACAAGTTGTGTGGAATGTTGCTTTGCTTTCTTGAATCGTGGTTGACTGTATTGTCCAATGGTCGTGCCAGTATCGTCATCGACATGCATGAACATCCGCCAACGTCTACGCAATTGCTCGTTGACTACATGCAACAGTAGCAAATGCCATGTTTGACAATGGATCCGATTTCCAGCTATCATTTCCAATGCATACACACTTTTTTCTTTCCTTTTTTTTCTCTCTCTCTCTCTCTTTCTTCCCTCTTAAGATCTTCGCTACCCTGTCATTGGGAAGAAATTCCCGTTTGGATTTTGCGAAGTAAAACAAAATTCAAAAAACAAAAAAACGTCCTTCACAGCTGAGACTTTCAGCTCGTGCGTATCTTGGTTGCGCTCACCATCCCCTCCTTTTGTTATTTCTATAGCTTAGAACCTTCCAAGTTGGAGGGCTGTTGGAGTGCGCATCCAAGATGTGCTAGAGCTGTTAGCCAGTTAGGTTGACTTTTCTACTCCATAGCTCTGCATCATTTCTTGGAAATAATTACGATGTATCGAGTCTTGTGATTGGAGTTGGTGGATCCTGCACAGGCTTCACGCTACAACATCAACCGATATTAGCATTATCTACATGAACGCTCTAGTAAACAGAAAAGTGTAAATGGCTTGTCACGTGATGGTCCCTATAGTGGCAGTAAATCACGTTCTTGATGTGCCTTCCACCGTCAGCCTGACTGATGAGATTGCCTCAGACACAGAGGCCAGTAACTGAATTATTTACCAGAGTGTGACTTCATCACATGACACCATCGCATGACACCATCACAATCATGACATTATCACGTGACATCATCACGGCGAGAACAAGAACTATGGATAACAATGAACTTCATACATGACTGTGCGGCAACTGTGCTACGTACTTCAGGTGTGTATGTACAAGAGTACTCTTGGTATGTACAATAAGAAACTCTGATAAATAGCTGGTCAGCTGATACTGGACAACGTTCTGGTGCTAAATATAATTATCTTTAAAAGCTAAAAGAAGATAACACGCATTGCACAATTTATGCTTGTAATAAACTATTCCAATAAAGATTTTGTTAAACGCCTAAAGCGAGAGAGGGAGAGAGAGAGAGAGAGAGAGAGAGAGAGAGAGAGAGAGAGAGAGAGAGAGAGTGCTGCTGCTGAAGGAGCGATACAGCATTGTAAGTTCACAAAGACAAGTTACATGACTGTGGATAGCAGCAGGACACAACTGCAGTCAAACAGGCCAAAGCCTAGTCTGGCACACAACACGGGTTATCAGCGTATTCCCAAACATCCACAGGTCACTCTGCAGAGGCGGGCGTGAGGAATTGGTACACATGGCTGTGAACCATTTCTAACATCGCATCTGCACTACCGCTAAGATAGCGGTCTACGGAAAACATAAGTATGTGCGCGTGCACTCACACACACACACACACACACGTACACACACGTGACCTGCACAAAATATTGCAGGTACGCGTGGGATACTAGAGCGTCCACCCGTTTCCTTGCCTTGGGGAAAGGCTGGCCTACACATTGTACAGTGTTTTCTTCTTACACCACACAATGGTTAAGCACTTAGCATGGTTGAGTATTGTCAAAAGCCATTCAATACATTGGGTTGGTGAGGACACCAATATCTGCCTCCGATCACCTTTGAAATCCTAGGAAAGTGCAACGGCTGCTCAGAGTGCCAGCTTCCCACGCAATGAAGGCGCTCGGAGCCTGCTCACATTCACCGCTGCTTGGGCGTGTAGCTGGCGTGCTGGTGCGGGTTGAGCAGGGCACCGTGTATGAGACATTGGATGGCCCACTCGGACACGACGACGGGGATGTTGAGAGCGGTGATGCGCCGAGCCATGCTCTCTGGCAGGCTGTCCTTGGCCAATACGTAGTCACACGGCCGCAGACCTGCAGCAGTGCACACATGCGCACACATACACACACACACAT